CGAGAGGCGAGCAACTGCTGGGGCCCTGCGGGCTGCTTTCCTTCTCCTTCTTGGAATCGCAAGGGGCACTTCATGGGGCGTTCGTTGCATGTTAGCTAAAATTTTGCCTTGAATAACTGAGGTAGGCAGATCCTATTTGTTTGAAACTTTAAATAGCTGGCTATATTATTTGATGTTAATCAGCCTGGAGTGGCATATTTTATTAGTAACGAATAGGTGTGACTGCAGTGAAATCTGCTGAGAATGACTTTGGAGTGCAGGCAGAAGAAGGTTCTGCTGGGCCCGTGTGAGATCCACTCTGGAGTAGGGCTGGGGGCTCCCGGCTCTCATGTCCTGATGGTCTCATTGTAGAGTGGATGCCTTCCAGGCCCGGCCTCAGCTGAGGATTGCTGTTGCTGCTTCTTGCAGTCTTAGAAACATAGAAGCATAGAAGCAGAGCAAGTCAGAAGGGGCCTCCCAGGCCATCTAGTCTGACCTCTGGCACCAGCTGGCTCCACTCACGACGTGCCCACCATGTGCACATGCAGCCCATCTTTGAACACCCGCACTGATGGGGCCTCAGCGACCTCCCATGGAAGTCCATTCCACACCCTCGGGGTCCTAACTGCCAGGAAGTGCTTCCTGGCTTATAAATGGAACCTTGGTTCCCTGAGCTGTGCTTCGTTGGAGCGTTTACTGCCTTCCTCTGCAGCAGAGGTCTTTTCCTGGTGGTGGCAGGTAGCCGTGCCCTGGCCCTCACCTCTCCTGCAGTGGCTCTCTTGCCGTTTGTGGTTCCAGGCTGGGGGTCCTGCTCGTCCCCCAAGGCCTCATCAGCCCCAGCCTCCCCAAGCGGAGAGAACCTGCTTCCCAGCTCCAGATCAGTGCCAGGAGAAGGAGGAGGCTGTGTTGGCCTCCTCCTCCTGTGGGTGACATGCCTCCATGTCTCCTCGATTGTTCCTCCTGTGGCCCCTCCCTCAACCCTCTGTCTGGAGGGGGACTGCTCCTGGGGGCCTGGAGAGTTCTCTTGGCCCTCAGGCACCTCCCCTCCTCCTCTAGGAGGGTCACCCGCATGCACCGAGAGCAAGTGTATCCCTGCCTCTCCTGAAGGAGAAGGGCGAACATGTTGCAGCTGTCGCAGTGGACAGCAACACCCGTGACTCCCGACAAGGCCATCTCCTGTCCTGCCAGTGGGAATCCTTCAGAGACCCTACCTTGGTCCCCTGCCTGGTCTGTCCTGCACTACCCCTCACTCGCCCAGTTCTCCCAGACAACCTTCCACACACAAACACAAGGATAAAATAAAAATTTAAATTGGAGGAAAACAAAACAAAACCAAAAACCAAAACAAATAAACACAAACTTGACCCCCAGGGAAGGGAGTATCTGGGCAGCCCAGGGCCACAGCTAAGGGACGCAGACAAGGGATGCTGCCCTTATCACGTCACCCTTAATGCAATGCCGTTGGTGCTGTCAACGGCTGAGTGTGGCCTTATCAGTCCCTCAGGCTGGTGGCCCCGCCTGTCTGCTTTCTCCTGGCACCTCTAGCCTCTCTGGCCCCACCTCCCTTCCTCTCCGCTGCTCCTGCCCCCCTGCCCCTCTGCCCAGCTCCTCCCTTGCCTTCGCCAATCCCCTGGCCACTCAGCCCTCTCTCCCAGCCTGTGACTCTGCTGCTCCGCTGCTCTGCCAAGAGGCCAGAGCCAAAAGGGCTTGCAGTGGCTGAGCGCGGCCTTATCAGTCCCTCAGGCCAGTGGCCCCACCTGTCTGCTTCCTCCTTGCCCCTCTAGTCTCTCTGGCCCTGCCCCCCTTCCTCTCCGCTGCTCCTGGCCCTCTGCTCCCCTGCCCAGCTCCTACCTTGCCTTGCCAGTCCCCTGGCCACTCATCACTCTCTCTCAGCCTGTGCCTCGGCTGCTCTGCCAAGAGGCCAGAGCCAAATTTGTCTTGTGGGCAAATAGCCTGGGAATGTCCAGCAACTGCTTTGCGGCATGTCCTCTTGGGCAAGAATGTCAACTGTGCAGTTTGCTGAGGGGAGGTTGGATCATTAGGCCCGCAATGAGCTGCTGTCTGGTGCTGGGCTAGTTCTTCACACAGTGAGAGTTACTTCTGCTTTCCACATTGGGCTACCGTTAGATCTTTTTCCTGTGCTTTTTTGGGTGGCTTTGGATACAGTGCAGTAGAGATGAACTGTATAATGAAAACTTATATGCGTATGGCAAACACAGACATTAAAAGAATAGGTCGTGAATATCATTGCTTTAGTTTGTTCACTTGTAAGCACCAGTGGTTCAAAGAACACGTGGGATGGAAATTGGGTACAGCATTTTGGGTCCCTGGGTTGGGAGCACTGAGAAATTACATTATCAAGACTGGGCTCCTACTATGATGCAGAACTAAGGGCAATGCTGCTGCTGTTGGGATGGGTCTGAGAAGGGCAGAAAGGGTGATATTTATGGTTAGGAATGTCCTGCTCAGTCACTGCCATAATTTCCCACATCAACTTGCCAGGAACATCCTCTATATTTTTACCACCTCCCCAAGTGTTAAACTCCAGATGAAATCCCCAAATAAATTCCCATTATCCTCTCTATCCTCTCTAAAATTCAAGTGAGATAGGCTAACAGTATCAGTTATCAATTACACACACACACACACACACACACACACACACACCTTCTATCGGAAGCTGATTGCTACTCAGGTAGCTTCCCATGCTCCCATGTTACCTTGGTGCCGTGAATTTTTATTGTTCATTGGTGTGCCACATGATGCTCACCCAGCACATCCAAAGAGGCTGCATTTCCCCCTCTTAATGTGCAGAGGGGATTTGAGAGTGTCAGGGCAGCTGGCAAACTCAGAAGACATGGGGGCTGTAGAATATTGAGGAAAGATGTAGCACGGGCAGTGAGAGACTACCATTCAGAGACTGACTGGATCGTATCAATCAGAATGCATGGAAAACCTATCAATATAACCATCTTTCAGCTCTACACTCCGAAATATGATGCTGAAGCGCAACAACAAACGCTGCATTTCTCTTAGGCAGCTGTTCAAGAGAAATTGCTAACAAGACGTGCTAGTCATTGTGGCTGACTGGAGCACCGAAGCCAGAAGCAAGGCAGAAAGCAGTGCTCCAGAAGAATTGTACTGGAAGTCAAGCAAAGCACGAGAAGGGCCAGAGGCCAGAAGAAAAGCAGGAGAATGCAGGGCAGCCACAGGGGCCTTTTACCGTGGAGAGCAGGGGAGATTGTCATGAAAAGAGCAACAATAGTTTGATTTGTCCCACAATTTGCAGAGTCCCCTGGCAACACCTTCTTCTAGGTTGACCCTCAAAAAGGACGGAAGAGTCTCAGGAAAATAGATGAGTTTTGACGCACAATGTTGTGAGCAAGTCTCTCCTTCCTCTTTCCTCTCCAGCAGGCACAGACAGGAATTTAGAAGCACTAAACTTTTCTTAGCGCTCAGAGGAGTCGGGTGATCTGGGTTCCAATCTCTGCTCAGCCATGGAGCCAACTGGGTGACGGTGGGGCAGCCGCAGACTCTCAGCCCAGTCTCCCTCCATGGTTGTTCCTGTGGGGAAAAGATTGAGAGTAAGAGGCAGAGAAAGATGTAAACCACTTTGTGTTCTTAAAAAAAAAAGAGAGACATTCTATACATCAATGAATAATAGTACCACACCAATCGCAGTAACATTCTCCTTGAGATGTAGGAGAATGCCAGCCTCTGCCCCTGTGAAAGGTTGAACCCAAATGGAAACTTCCCCTGCTTTCCTCCCTTTCAGAACAGCTTCTGAGTCCCTGCTTGGGGAGGATCCTGGCACTTGAGGGCTGGGCAGCAGAAATGCCAGACACTTCTGAGGGGGCCTGCTAGCTTCGTGGAGCCAAGGCACTCCTTCTCCACCACCCCCACCCCACCAGCTCTGAAATGCCTCCTGTCTTTCCCAAGGTGGGCTCTGCCTGAGAATCTTCATCAGGTAACCATGAAACTGCTGAGGCATCTGCCTAGCACTGCCCCTCCACTGCCCCACCAGAACTGGGAGGTTCTCTGTGAGCAGGGGGTGATGTCCTAGAGCTGGGCCCCTTGTGACACAGTGATCCACAGTGGCCTTTAGAGGCCTGGAAGCCACCCCCTCTCTTAATGAGCCACAGAGAATTGCACTGAGTGATGGAACCCAACCAGGGAGGACCGCAGCCAGACGTCTTTCCCATATCCTCAGGCCGAAACAGATGGAGCTCATCCAGCCAACCGGATGAGAGGCGTCTTGGGGCACTTTGATTCTAAAAGGGCTGCAAACGAGGGACCAAGTCAGAGCAGAGGCGGGTGCTTTCAACTGCTGTGCAACACGTCGTGGCCTGCCGCTCAGTGACTCGCCTGCTGCCCAGGTGTCTCTGCCTTCACTGAGCTTCTCCCAACTGGGAACAGCAATTTGGGTGCTGCTGCTCAGGCCAGAAATAGCTAAACTTTGGTTTTAAAAAATGGTTCTGACAGGGGCTTGTCAGAACCATTCATGGCACCTGCAAAGGCCTAGCATACAGGCTAGTGAGCCCTAATCACAGTTGCTGTTGCGAGGATAGAATGGAGGGGAGGAGAACCTTGTGGCCAGCCATGGATTAGTTTCTAGAGGTGGAACTCTGGGAGAGAAATGCAATGCAAGATGATGAAGACGAAGAAGAAAAAGAGGAGAAGGAAGATGAGGATGAGGAAGATGATGACGATGATGGCACAGCAGCAGCAGCAGAAGAAATCTGGATGCGAACTACATCTGTGGAGCTGGAGCCAGGGGCTGTCATGGCATTGCAGCTGGCAGGGCTTGGGCTGAGACTGCAAGAAGGGCTTTGACCAGCTCTTCACCTTGGCAGGCTGCTCAGTCACTTGCCATTGCCTGGAGGATGGAAGGCATGAACGAGTGTGTACAGAACTTCTAGTTAGCAGGATGAATGGCTGGATATCACCATCACATGTCCATCAAATGCAGTGCAAACAGTGACAGTGGCACTGAATGCATCTCCAGAAATTGCTGCATGTGAATAAATTCTCACCCATACGAATAACCCTTAAAGGAAAAAATTCTGAACTAAAGGGACCTCCCCCCTCCCTCCCGAATGCTGAATGTCTCTGAAAGGAAAGCTGGCATTGATGATTTCAAGTTCTTTATCAAAAATAGATGTTGCCTTTGAAAATAAAAGTTGCATGTCACAAGCAAACACAAGACACTGTGGCTACTTCCCTAGTAGAAGCAAACAGATGAACTAATTTTGATTTTCAGTGAAAGTGATGTCAGGCCACATTGACAGCAGTGACCATCAACAGCAGAAGTGAAAGAGTGAGGTCATCAGCCCAGGGTGCCCGGTGTCACTAATACCTTCAGCAAGTGGGAGAAGCCCAGAACACGAAGCAGCCTCCACACAGCTGTCCGATCAGAGTGGATTTCCCCATGCTTGCTAATAAGAGCCAGTGCTGATGGGTGTCATACTGCAGCTCAAGCACCAGGTGGCGCCATTGCACAACGCAGAGGAGAAATCTGGTGCAATTGCTCTCCAGAAGCCCAGAGCAGGAGGCGAAGGGATCTGAGTGAGAAAGGGAGGACCGGCATCACCAGCGGGTCTCTGGGCACTTTGTGAGGAGAGGCCACCGTGCTGCTTGCTGGAGAAATCAGGAAAACGCGGCTGCTCGCTCTGGAAGCGTGCTCGGGCCGGTCAGCTGCGGCAGCAGCCCCAGGAAGAGCCACCCTGCCTCTCAGACCACCGGGCGGGTGAGGCTGGACGATGGAAGGGCGCCCCCAGGGCAGGCAAGTGCGGTCTTTTTTCTTGTGTCTCTGTGTACTTGTGCCAATGTGTGAGTCCTTCCTGTATTCCGTGCCAGAGGAGAAGAAAAGCGGCTCTGTGGTGGTGAACGTGCTGCAGGATCTGCGAGTGGAGGGCAGGGAGCTGTCCGCTCGGAGGGCCCGGCTGGCTTCCAAGAGCGCCAAGCAGTATTTCCGGCTGGACCCTCATTCCGGGAACATCCTCCTGCAGGAGCGCATCGACCGGGAGGCGCTCTGCGGCCAGAAGGACCCCTGCGTCCTGCTCTCCGAGGTCGTGCTGGAGGACCCCCTGCAGCTGCACCGCATTGAAATACAGATCGAGGATGCGAATGACCATCCCCCCAGATTCTCCAAGGAGAAAATCTTCCTTGAAATACCTGAGCAGACTCCCATATACACACAATTCCCTTTGGAGGGAGCTCAAGATGCAGACATTAGAGAAAATGCTGTTCAGAATTACACTTTGAGTCCTAATGAGCATTTTAGACTGGAAGTGCAAACTAGCAGGGATGGCAGCAAATACGCAGAGCTGGTGCTGGAGAAACCTCTGGACCGGGAGGTGAATGCGCAGGTGACACTGGTGCTGACAGCTGTGGACGGAGGGATTCCCCAGAGATCGGGCACAGCACAAATATTAATTAATGTTCTGGATGCCAATGACAACTTCCCTCAGTTTGCACAATCCCTGTATGAGGTCAAGCTCAGGGAAAACAGCCCTTTGGGCACACTAGTGGCTAAGGTTGAAGCCAGTGACAAAGATTTTGGCTCCTATGCAGAAATCACGTATTCCTTCAGCCAAGTGCCAGAAATTGTTCTCAGAACGTTCAAGTTGAACAGACAGACTGGGGAAATCAGCTTGATAGGTCCAGTTGATTATGAAGAAAAGAGCAATTACGAGCTGAGCATCCAAGCCACGGATGGAGGGGGGCTCTCTGCCTACTGCAAGGTCCTTGTGGAGGTGGAGGATGAGAACGACAATGCCCCTGAGGTGGCTGTGACCTCCATCACCAGCCCCCTACCAGAGGACTCGCCTGTGCAGACGGTGGTGGCCCTCTTCAGTGTCACGGACCCTGACTCCGGAGACAATGGCAGGACCACCTGCACCATCGACCCCAGCCTGCCATTTGCGCTGAGAGCCACTGAGAACAGCTACTACCAGCTGGTGACCCAGTGGCCCCTGGACCGAGAACGGATCACCGAGTACAACATGACTGTCAAGGCCACGGACCGAGGCTCTCCCCAGCTCACTTCACTGACAGTGATCAGCATTCCCATCTCGGATATCAACGACAACCCTCCGGTGTTTGAACGCCCCCTCTACGAAATGCAGGTGCGAGAGAACAACATTCCAGGACTGCTGATCGGCTCAGTCCACGCCTCTGACCTGGACGCAGAGCAGAACGCCAAGCTGACCTATGCGCTCCTGCCCGGGAAGGTCGGGGACAGCCCGGTGTCCTCCTATGTCTCCATCAACTCCGAGACCGGGAACCTGTACGCCCTGCGATCCTTCGATTACGAGAACATGAGGGAGCTCCGTGTGATGGTGAGGGCCCTGGACAAGGGCTCCCCCCCGCTCAGCTCGCAGGCCACTGTCCGCGTTCACGTGGTGGACGAGAACGACCACGCACCCTTCATCCTGCACCCTCTGCAGAACAGCAGCTCCCCATCCAGTGACCTGGTCCCACGCGGGGCCGAGGCCGGCTACCTGGTCACCAAGGTGGTGGCCACGGACCACGACTCAGGGCAGAACTCCTGGCTGTCCTACCAGCTGCTGAAGGCCACGGAGCCGGGCCTGTTTGTGGTGGGTGCCCAGAACGGGGAGGTGAGGACGACGCGGCCGGTCCAGGCTCGGGACAGCTCCAAGCAGACCCTGGTGGTGGCCGTCAGGGACAGCGGCCACCCGCCCCAGTCTGCCTCCGCCACGCTCAGGATCCTGCTCGTGGACGGCTTCTCCGACCCCTACATGAAGATGGTGGATGTCCCCCGGCACGAGGAGGCTGAGGAGGAGGGCCGCACCCTGACCATGTACCTGATCGTTTGCCTGGCTGCCATCTCCTCTGTTTTCCTGTTGTCCATCACCATCTTCGTTGCGGTCAAGATCCAGAAGCACCGGAAGCTCTCCAGAGCCCTTCCTGCAGTATCTGCGTTCCCTGTGGAGCCCATTTCCCAGGAGAACGGGGAGGATTCTGGCTCGCTCTCCCAGGCCTTCAACTATGAGGTTTGCCTGGCCGGCGGGTCCCTGGACAGCGAGTTCCGCTTCCTCAGGCCGCTCTTCCCCATTTTTTCCATGGAGACTCCCAACACTCAGGTGAACACCAGGAATCCAGCCTGCTCCACACAGCAGCCAAGCCTTGCAGAGGAAAGCCAGCCCTCTTTCCAGGTGAGCACATACATGGTCTAATTCCAATCTGAATTGATCGTTCGTCTGTATTGTTTATGTAGCACCCTTGACCAGTGAATTTCTAGATGCAGCCCTGAATGTACTGAACTCTGGCAAAATGGAGCACATGCCTTTCACATTCCACTTTACCTTTCTCCTTCCGTGGCTTTTTTTATGTTCTGCTGATTTCTGGGGGAACACATGAATGATACCTCACATGGTGGCCTGTGAAACTTCTGGAACACCTAGAGGTTCATGAACATAATATATGGGGCATCGCATATAACATTTCCACACAGCTCTCAGACCAGACTAGCCTTTTGCTGTAACGCTGAGCCAGAAGCTGAGCTGAGTGGAAGGGACAAAGCGGCTTGAGAGGAGCCTCTTGTGGCTCTTCGTGGAGCGGTTCTTCAAAGCGCAGAGTGAGGATCCCCCTCCAGGGGTCACCCTCTCTGAGTGTGGCCAGCCCTCCCCTGCATCAGAGGCCCCCTAGGGCCCAGGCTTTGGACCTGGCCATGTTATGTGCATGTCTGGGGACTGGAATCCCTTACAGCCAACACAATGGCTCCTATGCCTTTGGGTCCAAGTGTCTGAGGCTTCCTTGCTAACATCCTTCATTCAGCTTTTCCATCAGTAGAATGCCTTCATGTCTTCTACAGTAGCAGGGACTTATCCGTTTGC